TTGTCTAGCATAGGTTTCCCATTCTGAATTTCTATATGTTTATTCACCTTTTCCATTAATAAAATGAGCATATTTCCTTTACATCTCGATCATGTCATTTTTGCATTCGTAAAAAAAAAATTAAAAAATAAAAAAAAATTGCCGAACCAAACACAAGGTACACCAATGATTTGAGGCACCCTTTGCAACCCATTATTCCCTTTTTTACCATTCAAACACATTTTCCATTCTTTCATTAACCACTTTGAGCCTCGTCTAACGTTTGGCCTCATTTATTCAACCCACATTCACCTAACCTTGGGATAGGAAGGTGTGTGATTTGTGTACCGTTCAAAAGCAAGTTCAAAAGAGATAAAAAAAAAACAATGTCTAAGGGCAAGTGTTCCAATGTCTTTGATATGAACACGTCTCGAATTGCGTCTCTCATCGAGTGCTTGGTACTGTGCCTGAGAAATATGAATGCTAAGTGAGTGATGGATCGCATGATCCGAGATTGCCCACATTAATTCAAAAGAATGAAAAAGAAAACAGAAAAAAAAAATTCAAAGCAAAAAAAAATGTGAAAAATATACTTGCAAAATTTAAATTTTTTCAAATACACAATTACACATCTTGGGGGGCTTCTCTCGGGTCTTGAGCCTTTCACCCTTTCTTCTTCAACCACTAGCTTAACCACGTTACAACCCTCGAAAGACCTCTTTGAGGTATACATACATTTGTGCAAAGTTTGGCTAGAGCTACGTTCGGCCTAATTTCTAACGGATATGTAGGCAACCTCACATCGAGGTGCAACCATATTCATATTCACATTCATATGCATACATGACCAAGCCAAAACATTTCCAAAGCTTATCCCTACCCATACAGAGCTAGACTTGGGGGCTTGAACCCACATCACTTAGCTTACCTAGCCTAAAGAGTCATCATCTTTGACTCTTCTCACATCTATTCCCATTGCCATAGCCTTTGCAGCCAACCTCTAGTATCACTTTCACACACTTCATTCACACATACATTGCCATATCCTCCTTCTCTTGGGAACCCCTTATCATGAAATCTTGTTTCATCAACGCGCATGCTTCATCATTCTTAACAACAACATCCAACAAACATCATCATGGTTATATATCATTGTACACTTGCTTAGCTCCCTGACCTAAGCAACATTCATCGAGATTCATTATCACACTTGCTTAGCTCCCTGACCTAAGCAATACTCAGCAAACACCACTGTATACGTGCTTAGCTTCCAGGCCTAAGCAACGTTCAAGATTGTACACTATATATGATCTTAGCTTCCTGACCTAAGCAACATACATCGATAATAAACTACGATTATACTGTGCTTAGCTTCCTGAACTAAGTGCATTCATTGATTGTGTCACATGATGTAATTGTCCTTAGCCTCCTGGCCTAAGAACATTCATCATGTACATTAGTTTCAAGACGAGAGATTCAATTTGACAAGAAGAAAATCCATGCAATTCACTGCGCTTTTGCTCAAGGAGGAAGTTCAAAACTTCTTCCCATTTTTAATATTATTTCTTTTGGGGAAGTTCAAAAAAATTTCAAAATTTTGTTCTTTTGGGTAAGTTCGAAAAATTCTTCCAAAACTTCATTTTTCACGTCTTTCTTTTTCGGGAGAAAGTCGGTACCCTCTACTCATGACAAAAAATGACGGAATTTTTTTTTTGTTTGCATTTTCAATTGCTTGTGTCTGCGCACACACACAAACTATACATATACACACAATCACAAGTCATACACATGTCATGTCGTGTCAAGTCAAGCTTGGTCAAGTCAGTTGGTTAAGTTAATCACAGTCTACGCGAGTCCCTTGGAAAATTCTATTTTGCAAGTCTCAGGTACAATCAAACAAATCATCATTCACAACCTCTGTTCGGGGATAATCGAACAATAAAACCATCAACATCTACAGCCCATGTTCGGGAACAATCGAACTATTATCATCTACAGCCCACGTTCGGGGACAATCAAACCATTATCATTTACATCCCACGTTCGAGGAAAATCGAACCATTATCATCTACAGGCACGTTTTCCCGAGGTGCGAAAAATGGTCAGCTTTAACATACTTCTCGAGGTGTAGAGGTCTGCAATTGTGTCCCAAGGCACGGACACTTAGTGTTATTCCCGGAGTATGGAATTTCACTTGTGAGTTGCTCGAGGCGTAGGAGCTCACGATAGGATTCTTGAGGCGTGGATACTATCTCATATCAATCTTCCCGAGGCGCGGAAGATCATCATTCAGTAGGTTGCTCCAGACGTAGGAGTCTACGACATGTTTCCCGAGGCACTGAAGCTTGTCACCTTTTATTTAGTGGATTGCTCGAGGCGTAGTGGTTCACGATAGAATTCCTGAGGATGGAAGACTCTTATCCGGTAGATTTCTTGAGGTGCAAAAACCTACCAAATGTATTTGTTGCTGGCCCACTGGTGTCAGATACACATTCTATCCTTTTACTCTTTTATCTGTGGAACTAACGCTTTTCTGTAGGTATCGGCATATACAGAGTGATTTAGGATTGCAGAACGTCTTAAATCATTCTCCGTCCCAATCGACTACTTTGACTATCGTTTTCGAAACTTACGTTTCTACAAACTCAGTCAAAGTGGGGGCTTCTGTAGACACCTAAAAATGTCTCCACAAAACCAAACCCGAAGATGAACAACCTTTCACTGCCATTATTGGTCGGGTTGAGTATTTAATCTTTGGAGTGCTTAAATCCATATACAATCCAATACATTTCATAAACCAACCCAATTCTTAGCCCATTTTCCCAAACCATAACTTATTTTCCTCTTTTCGTGTCCACATCACAAAATAGAGCTAAACTGATTTTGTGGCCTTATAACTTTGATCCAAATATTATTTGGTTGGATAGGCCTTGAAATAATCTTTCCAATGGTATAGCATAAGCCCAATTCCGATTTAAAACGAAGAAGATATGAGCAAAACACTAAAACTCGGCTCAAAACCGACACCCTTGCACTAAAACGGCCATATCTTAAAATCTACAAAAGATTTTGACCTGATTCTAATTGGATTTGAAATAAAACTTGAATATATTTCCAACGATATATTATATGCCTTATTTCGAATTACGGAACAAAAGTTATCAAAGTTTAAAAAACGCGTAAAAATTGGAAATTACCGTGCCACGATAAAAATACCGTGACACGGCAGTGATTGCCGTACAATGGCAATTCTTTTGTCCCGCGACGCTTTCTTCCTTTGCGGTGCCTCGTTTCCAGGGTTCCGTACCTCACCCCTCACATTTCCTCTATCAATATGAAGTTGATTTCATAGTTTCGGGGCACCGACACACATTCTCATCTCTCTCTCACATTATAAGCCTTAAACCTATTCTCCTAATTACACCATTCCTTCCCTAAGCGCTCCAAGGAGTCCATACAACACCCAAAGTTCCATACTTAAACCAAGGCATGAAAGGTAGAACCGATTGAGGGTTTTAACCAAATCAACTCTATTTTCCTTTAATCTTATTTCAATTTTATATATAATTCTTTGAAGTTACTAATATTTTAATTCATGATGTAGCAATTTAAAGAAGCGTGGAACGTGAGTAGTTAATTCACTTAATTACTCTTATTATTATTCTTATTGCTAGTATCATGATTAGGTTTATTATTATGATTTAATTTGACTCTAGCTATTATGGTTAAATTGCTTCCAATATTAATGTTAATTTTATTTTTTATTGTCGATCACCGTATTGCATGTTTAAAGGGAATATGTAATTGGTTATAACGCTTTATAAGATAATTTGGCAACCGGTTTAGCTTCCTTTTTAATCTTATTTTTTAATCAAGTGATCACGATATTTAGAATTATATGTGTGCATTAAAATTCAACCAATTTAACTTAATATTAGTTTGGAGCAAATTGAATCTTTGTTTGTATGCCTTTGACATCGCAGGAAATACTTTTCACAATAAGAATCGAGTAGAGGCCAATACGGGCGAATGTGACTCCATGACTCACTTCGTACCATAATCTCTGATCCTCCTTTCGTAATTCCAAACCATATGGAGTTAGTAATCTCATGGATTATGGATGGGGTGTAACTTTCACGGGTCGATCGTTGTTGCCTTTCGTTGTCCTTTATCGTGGTTGCCTTATAATGATCCGTGACCGGTTTACAAGTTCTTTAAAAACTTGTTGGCGAATCCCTACTTTGCTTTGTCCCTAATCGTGTCTCTAATCGTATGTCAATTCCCACTTCCTATGAGTGCCAAGCATATTCACAACATGATTAGGTAGACGCGCCTCAAACGACGCCTACAACCACGTAGGATTTAATTTTCTTAGCACGCCATGTAGGATTATAAATTTTAGTGGTAACCAATTAAATAAGAGATTATTAATTTCTTTTAGAATTAAATAATTCAAATACCACGTAAGCAAAATTGGTGAATGAGATTTTTAACTTTAAATTAATTAAATATAACATATTATCTTTTGATATTAGAAATGTTATCTAAACATATAACAAATTTTAGCACATAAATAAATTAAAAAATTGGTTTTAAAAAATTTAAACAAACCATGCATTGCACAGGTTTCATCTAGTTTTGTATGTTAAAGGGATGATTACAATAAAATAGACTCACCCAATAATTTATGAGCCAATATCTAGTGTATTAACACAAGTACTCTGTATTATACCTAAGAATTTTTTTTTAATGTAAGAAAAAGAAAAAAATCATTTAGCAAACTATCCTAGGGGAATTTCTAATGCATTTAAAGAAAAAACGGAAATTAAACTAGAGTAATTACAAGGAATATTATAGAGTATTCAGGTTATTGCTAATTAAATGACCCACATTTACTATCCCATCTAACATCTACTAATTCGCCTCTCTATAGATATGATAAATACTGTAATTGTGAAATTAAGAAGGAAAAAAAAAATAATCCTGTAATTGTGAAATTAAGAAAAAAAAGTGCTTTAATACTTTATCTAATTTAATTCACGAGGAGATATATTTTGTACTCGTACCACGAACCACTATAGTCGGTCAGATGGCGATGCTAGTAGAAAGTTCGAAGACGGAAATGTTCATAGCCAAACACATCACAAATATCCCATCATTTTCTTTTACTTCTTTATTAATTTAAATTTAAAAAAAAAAAATACACATCACAACACCCAAACAAGTGTCTAATTAATCCTAAAACATATCCCACCAGCTAGAGACTCTTCCAGCACGTGTCATATCCTCACTTCTTTAAACTCTATAAAAACATATCCAAACACCTACGACATTATCCGCCCTAAATTTTTTTTGCAACTTACAAGTGTTGCATTTTATTAACACATCCTCTTTATATTTTCCAAGCAAAATACTTAGTAACAAAAAAAATGGCAGGTGTAACACACGACTCCGATGATTTCCGGATAGTCTGCCCGCCGGTGAACAAGGAAGACGGGCGGCTACCACGTAAGTACACCGACGAAGGTCAAGGCGCTAAGTCCGGTATATCCCCTCCGATCGAGTGGTATAACATACCCGAGGGGACTAAAAGTTTGGCTTTGGTGGTAGAGGATATTGATGCCCCAGACCCAGATAGTCCACTTGTTCCGTGGACTATTTGGGTCGTGGCACATATCCCACCTACCTTAAAAGGCTTGCCCGAAGGGTTCTCGGGCAAGCAAGAGGAGTTAGGTGGTGAATATGTGAATATTGCTGAAGGGAATAATGATGAGAAGGTACCTGGTTGGCGAGTCCCTACTATGCCTAGTCATGGGCATCGGATTGAGTTTAAGTTGTATGCACTTGATGATGAGCTTCGCCTTGGCAAGACGGTATGTTCAATTTTTAATTTACTCATCAACTCAACAAAAAGCTTAAACTGATAATTGAAGTCATAGTCGATTTATATACTCTATCATAAAGAATGAATTTAAATAATAAATAATAACACTGATTAATTAATTTATGGTATAATAAAGAGGACAATGATGTAGATGTGATTAGTTGATCGTGATCTCGAGTATAGTTACAAAGTTGTATAATGTAACGTTTGATGATTGACCTGCAGGTGACGAAGGAGAAGTTGTTGGATGCAACTGAAGGTCACATAATTGGAGAAGCAGCTATGATTGCCGTCTTTTAAGTTATAATGATCTAAAAATTAATCTTGTTAAATCAAGTTTTGGTTGTTTAACTTCCAATTGTAATCATCAAGCTGATCTTTTTTTTTTTTTTTTTTTTTTTCCAATTTCCCATTTTCTGAATAATGCATGTTATTTGCTGGCTTGAATGATTAAAAGGATTTTGTAAATGTGTTGACGATCTATCTATTGTGTGCCTCTTGTTTGAATTGGAAATTTAGTTGTGAATTTGTGAAAGGCCTAAAAGTAAAGAAAGGGGTGAATGATATTATTATTATTATTGGTATTAGGCTTTTGGCCCATGTTTGTCAAGGTAATCAAAATGTTGGACCTCATCGAGGGGAATAGAAATAAAGTGAATAATTAGGGTTGGGGAAAGTGGAAAATCATGGGAATTGAAAATTGGATGAGTTGTTTGGTTGACAACAAAAAGTGTAAATGTGGGAATTGCAAATTCATAGGAATTGTGACTTCCCACAAAATATGGGAAGTTAATTACCTAACCCCCCTAGGTAAGTCAAAAGTTCTCATATTTGCAACTTTCTTCATCCCAACCAAATAAGTTTAGACAATTTCTAGAAATTGGATGTAGGTATTTAATTTCCATAAAATACAAATTTTCATGGGAAGTAAATTCCCATATCAAACAAACAACGCCTAAGTGTGGATCGAGCATCAAGTTCGTAAAATTGTAAATACTGGGTATGCTGATTGCTGTATAACCGAACAAGAATTAAAAACATTAGTGCAAAACCAAACAAAGCTATTCCAAAACATTAGTGCAAAACCAAACATTATTCCAATTTTATCATATACGTACTTCGTATTTTATTTAATTATGTTCACTTTTTTTTGAGAGAATTGTCGTCAAAACAAGAAGATAGATTATTTAGAAATAGAGGCAATAACGTTGGGTGTATTATGTACATGGTATATTATGATAAAAAATAGTTTAAAAAAATGCGAAAAAAACCTAATTTATATTTATAATAAACATCACGATTTTATAAAAGAACATAATATTTTTTTATTTTTTTTTTTTGAAAGCAAGATAGAGCATTATGTATTAATCAGGAGAAATCCAAATGTGCCATAGTTACAATGCTTTGGGGAAAATGATCAACTCTAATAAGCTCCGAGTGATCTCCCGTGTCATCTCTAGCCACAAGATGAGCAATTGTATTGCAATTACGCTTTACATGGGTAAAAAAGCAATCCTCAAAAAGAGCTCTATCAATGCTGATGTCGCCATAGACATTGAATATTGGAGTAGCACCCATTGCAGCAAAATTTATTACTTTGATAGCCTGCAAAGAGTTAGATTCAATCCAGATTTTATCAAAGCCAAATCTACGAGCAATCGTGAGTGCATATCGAATTGCCATTGCTTCTGCACATTCTGGTGAGGTCGTATGAGTTCTTCTTGTAGCCGTCAACACCACCTCTCTGTAAAGCTACTCTCAGGGGCTTCATCAATTATGGTTTTCATGTTATAATGGCTCCATATATCCCTAGCATGAGTGCACTCAAAAGGGGCATGGATTATCGACTCCTCCGCAGCATTGCATAATTGACAAATGGCATCTGAAGTATATGTCTTTGCACTAACCTTTGCTTTACAGCCATATTCCCACGTACAGCATTCCATATGAAGTGTCGTAATTTAGGTGGGCCATTGATATTCCAAACTGATCTCCATAATTCTGTTGGCTGGGAATTATCAACCGTGGGAGCCTTGATACTTCTTGCAAGCCAATAGCAAGATTTAACAGTGAATAACCCATTATTAGTTAAGTACCAATACAAGTTGTCATTTTTATCATGCATGGCAATTTGGTAATGATAGGACAAGCTTCGTCACTTCATCACCCAAAAGGCTTCTCACCCGTGCTTCAACCCATCCAGCATTTTCCATGATCATGGCATCACTTACTGTCATATTTTCATCCACCTTAGGGGTTGGATAGCAATCGGCTTCTCACCTTCAAATATAAAAAACGTGATATTTTGGTGAAACAGTTTAGAAAAAGGTAAAAGATAATTATCAATTGATTTTTACTACGTATTTAATGTCAAATCATTTCAAAATCTTCAGTTTATTATAATTTCTCTCTCTAAAATTATTTTTATCAAGATTTCATTTTCAAATTTCAAATTTTAAAATTTGAAACATTTTTAAAATTTCAAATTCCAATATTTTTTATTTTGTTCTCTTTTTTTTTAAAAAAAAATTCTCTAAATAATCAATTATTATTTTTATATTTTGTTATGATATTCATTTTGATCATGTGTATCTATTAAAATGTTCATTATATGATTTTTAAATGTCCATATTCTTTGATTGTAATTTTAATATACATTTATTGTCACACAATGTTCATTACTTATTGTGAAATGTTTTCTGAATTATGTTTTAACATGTTGGGTAAATAATATAAATAATGTTCTTTAAATAATATTATCATATTCTTTATTAATATAGCGAATGTTCTTTAGATCTATCGGAAAATCAATCATCAATAGAAGAGGTCCCAAAAGTATGTCGTCTTCATCAACCTTTATGATCCCGATTTCAAAAAATATATATATACACAATTAGATGATTTTTTTTTTTGAGAAAAATACGCTATTAGATGAACATAGTTTGTAACGTAAAGAACACATAGTTCAAATTCAAATAACATAGTTTGTGACTATAAAGAACATATAGTTTAGACCCAAAGTGCATATTAATTAAACTCAATGAACATGTTCATAGAATGAATATGGATTAAAAAAAAAACATTTATCCTAATCCAAAAGAACTTCATTTTCAACCTCCGAAAATAACAAAAATTTACAAAAAAAAAAAAAATTACATTTTCTTTCGGTGATGAATTCGTTAACTATGATCCATGAACAAATATAATAATCTAAAAACATCATCATCAACAACAAAATTATGAAATATAAATTGAAAAAATAATTAAAAACTACCTTCTCATTTGGTGACAAAATCTAAAATTAAATATCAATTGTCAAAAACATCAATCTGCTGATCATCAAGTGCAAATCGACAATCATAGATCGTGACGAAATTCACGATGAGCCATCATTTTCACTCTAAAAATATAGGAAATTATGAACAATTATGGATATAGGAAGCTAAAATTATTATTTTCTCTCTAAAAATTCTCTATTTTTTCAAAAACTGATTATAAACAATTATGGATATGGGAAGCTAAAATTATTTTTTTCTCTTGAAATTTTATTTTCTCTCTAAAAATTCTCTATTTTTTCAAAAACTGATTATAAACAATTATGGAAATGAGAAGCTAAAATTATGGAAAGGAAATAACAATAATCCTTCAATTAAGGAGTATAAAGTTAGGAAGCTAATTTTTTTTTTTTTTTTTTTGAATGACAATTTTCATCCAGATGTACCATAAACATGGTACACCCTGATGTACAATGTAAATTTCAGAGAGTAGGTTCGTATGTAAGATATTAACTTTATCTCTTGTTGGTCAATGATTGAACAATGTAGTACATACTCTTTGCTTACCCTAAGATAAGAAAATGGCTTGTGTCTAATGGACTAGAAGGGTACTGCCCCTACTGCGTGGCGCTAGAAGAAATAGTGTCCCTCATCTTTCCTTACCTCTCGCCTTTATATTCACAACCAAAATCACAAAAATAAAAGCATAACTCGTATTTTATTACTTGGATACTTCCTTCGTATTTTATTACTTGTTTTATTTCTCTACATAAAGTACGTAGTAATAAAATATGAAAGAAGTGGAGTTGGTGTAACTTGAAAGAATAAAGAATGATACTTTGAAAGAGAGAGAATCTAAAAATATGAAGAATAATAGTTGGGGTTTACTAAGAGAGAAGTAATTACTAAAATATTGTGAAAGATTTAATAAAAAAAAAAAAGGAAATAGAGCAACTAATAAAATACCCTTACAAAAAGAAAGTGGAACAGGTAATAAAATACGGTGAAAGTACTATATTTTCTCCTAGCTTTTAACTCTACTTGAATTACGATAGAATATGCCACCAGGTGTCCAGACTTAGGACTTGTTCTCTTCACCTGAAACAAGTAGATTTGGTCTGAATTTTTTAAGGTCTGATCTGAATTTTTATTATTTGGTGTGTTCTAATCTGATTTAACAATTTGACTAAACTTTGACCGCATTTTAGTACTAATCTATAAAGAAAAAACATTATCAAAATGGATTTTGTTAGATTCGTCTCATTATGAACTTTTCAAATATGTAATTTTTATAAATTTTTTAATACGCAATTAACGATATTTAACGATAAGTAAATAATAATCAAAAGTTCTGATCTGGGCTGATCTTAATCTGATAAATTTGTGGGAGAGAGATAATAGAATTGCTTGATATTCATAAGAGGCTATTTATATAATAGCAACATAATATTCGTAAATACTCCAAACCCTAAACTTCCTTATAAGATAATATTTCAATATCAATACTTAAACTAATTCTATCTTAAAATATCACAAAGATATATTATTTTCTCTTAAATAATATCATAAGATCTATGGAAAATATATCATAATGATATATTTTCCTATATTCCTAACACCCTCCGCAATCGTAACGGCAGTAACACGAATGTTGCGATTGGAATTCTTCACTTTGTTGAAGTCGAAATGCACTACTCTGGTGATGTCGCCTTCAATATTTTTAATAATGATGAGAACGTTCATCTTTTTCGAACTCATCAATTATCAATCAAATAGGAACGTCATTCTTTTCGAACCTGCAAATATAACATTACAACGAGAACGTCTCTTCCTCTTGAACTCGTATTTTGGTTTTTCCTGAGCAAAACTGAGCTCCAATCAAATATTGGTATTTCAGAGTAAACCACACTCAAATTTCTTATTTGTTTTAGTTTAGAGCAAAACCAAACTCATATCCAAAGGAGTAAAATCATGCTCGAACCATATAAAAAAGACCTTGTCTCAAGGCACAAGGAGAACCACAAATAAACCCTCTTTCATGGCACTAGGAGAACCAATATATCTTGTCTCACGACACAAGAGAGCCGAAAATCCTTTTTTTTTTTTTTAAATGTTATATATATATATATATATATATATATATATATATATATATATATATATATATATATATATATATATATTGCGTCAGGTCTAATGCATTCTCTTCATCTCCATAGATATGTGATAGCGGAAGAAGTCCACTCACATACTCCTACAAAATCATCAT